TTTTTTTTTTTTTTTTTTTTTTTTTTTTTTTTTTTTTTTTTTTTTTTTTTTTTTTTTTTTTTTTTTTTTTTTTTTTTTTTTTTTGTGTGTGTGTGTGTGTGTGTGTGTGTGTGTGTGTGTGTGTGTGTTAATTACCCGATTAGGGCTTTGTTCGAGTGCGAGCATAGCTTCCTGTCTCTCCCGCCAATTGTTTCAATTTCCTTTTATCTCTCTCTCTCGAAGAAGAAGAGGAAGAAGAAGAAGAAGAAGAAGAAGAAGAGGAGGAGAAAGATCAGTACTGCAGCGGAGTTCCGTAGATTTGCACTCTACAGGTACGTTCAAATTTGAGATGAATCATTTCATCGATAGATATGAGTTGCTGAATTTACAAGGTCCTATTCGAAATGGTAATTTATGTTTGAATCTTTTAATGGATTTTAACTTCTTTAGTATAACCTGATTTTGGAGCCCTAAATTAGGATTGTGGAAAGGTAAATGGTGTTGTAGTTTAGGGAATTGAAGTTCGAAGATTGAAATCTGCAAATAGATGGTTCTGGATTCACCTTTTATTCCTGTTTTCTAGGAGCTCTTTCAAAATTTGATGAATATATGTTTGGATAACTGGTACTTTTTCTTATTTTCTTTGGGTTCGTTTCTGTTGATGGCTGTTCTTCTTACCAATCGTTTAGGACCGTGAGCAGTAGTTTTTACTGTCCCGATCAAAATTAGATTTCAAAAACTAAAACTTGGGACTTGTTTTGAGAACAGTTTCCGGATAACAAGCCCTTAGCCTTCCATTGGTCACTTTGAGATTCTAATATAGGAGGCCAGGAATGCTGACCTTGGCCTAAGACTTATCTTTGTGTTCAATTTTCTTCGACATTTATCCAGCTCTTGGAGTATGAAGGGCTTAACTTATTGTCCAATTCGATTCTCGTGCTGAGTTATTACTAGTTTGGATTTCTTTATTGTTGAGCCGAGTGAAATTCTCAAGTGTAGACCATATGAGTTTTGAGTTTAAGGATGGGATGACGTTGATAGAACCTGAAATATATTGAAATATGAAAGATACCGAAACTACAAGAGAGACCATGTACTTTGAGGTACTTGAACGAGGGAAGTGGAGCAAGCAGGGAAGCGCACAAGGCAAAGAGGGAAGATTTCAAGAAACTCTGCTTAGCAACCAGAGTGGATAACAATGCAGCTGTCTTTGCTTCTACGATTGCCTCCCCAGCCGTTGGGTTTAACCAACCCCGAGCTGATAGTAGTCAGTTGTGATCAGATCTATTCATTAAAAAGAATCGATTCAATACTCCTTATTCTGTTTCGTTTGAGGTGGAAACTCTTCTCGACTTCTGTCGAGTATCCAATTTCCTATTCCTTCAATCTATCGGTGTGGTCAATACTCCATACTTTCAGGCAGCAAAGTTCCTAAATCAATCCCGAGCCTTTTCTTCTACCTCTCTTTATAATCAAAACTTGTTCAAACATGACTACACTCGTGTCGTGTAGTGTAGCAAGACTAACAAGTGGAACCTTGAGATCACTCAAGCCTAAGCGAGATGAACTATTGCTTAACTTTCTAGTTTCCCACTCCCTCTATTTATAACCAAATGCATACCAAACTCCCTAACAAATTAGCAGTATACTCTCAATACTCTAAATATATACCTAATAACATGCCTATCAGACATTTTCTGATTTATCCCATCCATGAAAATAAATGGGACTTTGATTTGTTAACAGAAAGAAGAAAAGCCATTCAGCTTCTGGCCTGAAAAGTTTATTCTCATTATCAGCTTCCCTTCTTTCAATAGCAAAGCACATATGAATACCGAAGCTAGCTATCGAAGTTTCCCTCTGAGTGTAAAACAGAACTCAAATTGCCTACCAAAGTGACCCTCAGATACTTGTTGAACTTCCACCTGTTCAGTCCTGTTTCATTGTAAGTTACGATTTATTTGATACTTGAAATGTTTAGGATGATTGTTTAAGTGGCAGTAGGTGTGGTTACCAGTAAGATCCGTAACTGGCTTGCTAAAATCGTTGTTTTCAGCAGGCAGAAAAAGAACCATTGCTAATTTCTTTTATCGTTTGAATTCTATTTTAATGGCAAGAATGCATCTACACATTAGGCTACTCAGAGTTGTAACTAAACATGTAGTGAAAGACCCTGTAAATTTCAAGTATCCAATCGTGCTTGTTTTTACCTCAATCTCAGTTCAGTGTTTTCTTACATTAACCTTTGCCAGATTCAATGGATGCCCAAGCTCAAGAAGATATTTCTCCAAGGCCTCGGGTTAAGGCCTCATTTCGCTTAGGGTCAGAGAAACATTTGGTCAATACAGCTAATAAAGGCACTCTCTCAGAGCAGTTGATTTCTATGAAAGAGGAGAGCATGGCCATTTTGAAGGAGTACATAACGAAACATAATGTTCCTAACGATGTCCCAGATGAACTTCTTGAAGAGGCTTCTGAGGACGATGATGAAACCACTGAAAAGCCTCAAGTGAAGTCAAAGAAGACCAAATTAACATAATTTCTCTGCCTTTGGATTACCCCAAAATTCTAAATAACAATGTCTTAGAAATGATTATAGAACTTAATTTTAAGGTATTCTTGGGTTTTTTGGCATATGTTTCTGTCACTCCCTTGGGTTCCCTTTTTGAATCTAAGCTCTAACTTGTTTCCTCTCCTATCTTTGCATGATTTGGAAAAAGAAGACTCAAATAACACATATTCATTTCAAATTATATACCAGGAATTTCCTTTATTCTCATTGCTTTAGGATCGCTCATAGCTTTTTATTCTCATTGCTTTAAGATTGCTCATAGCTTTTGTGGAGAAAACAATGACTTGTTAGTTATATATTGCTGTCTCGCTTTAAGATCGCTCATAGCTTTTGTGGAGAAGACAATGACTCGTTATATATTGCTGCCTCGCTTTAAGATCGCTCATAGCTTTTATGGAGAAGACAATGACTCGTTATATATTGCTGCCTCAGTTTTAAAATGCATCTATTAGGGAGTAGGAGAAGTTTCCTCGTTCCCCTCTCCAATCGATATGGGATCTCACACAATCCACCCCTTTGAGGGCTAATGTCATTGCTAGTATATTGCCCGATATCTAACTTTTATACCATTTGTAACAGTCAAAACTCGCTCAGTATTCGACTTTTATCCATGTAACCACTAGCAAATATTATCCGTTTTGGCTTGTTACATATTATCCTTAGTCTCAGTGTTAAAACATGTCTACAAGAGAGATTTCTACATCCTTATAAGATGAAACCATTCATCATACAGGCATAAAAGAATACATACTTCGTTTAGTACAATAAAAGGACAAGAATAGCATCTCAATTGCCAGACATAAAGCAGGAAAGGAGAAAACGCAACAAACTTGGTTTAACTTTACTACTTCAGAGGGGAATAATGGAAAGTGGTCACAAAACTCAGCAGGGGGTGGGGGAGGACAAAATTGGTTATTGTAGGGAAGAACTTCAAGAACATAACAAATTCAAGAAAAATGTATGCCAGCTTTGTTGAACAAAGAGAGCAAGTATAAGAACTCCTGTAAGCTGAGTTTAGATGACCTCTTTTCTTCAAAATCTCCCTCCTTCAAAACACCCATGACTTTATCCTTGAATTCAGAAGCCTCCCCTTCTCCACCTTCGGCGTCGCTACCGTCCATATCCATCTCCTCGTCAGCTCCATCATCGTCTACTTCCATGGTTTGATCCTCATTCGAATTGCCAAATCTCGAATAATCAAAATCACCATCATCCTTGTCTGCAGAACCTTGCTGTGGGATATTCAGTGCACATAAGGTCTTGTAGTTCTTCTCTAGCAAAGAAAGAACACTCTTCTGCCTAAAAATTGATCCAAGAGTTTTGTTCTTCCTATTGAAGCAGATTCTCAAGAACCCATCCCACTCCTTTTGCTTTACTTCAATTCGTGGCTTCCTTGGCTCGATTCGAACTACCGACGAGTCCACCTTTGGTGGAGGACGAAAATTGTTCTTGCCGACCTTCAGGAGGTGAGATACTCGAGATAGGAGTTGGGTGTTTACAGTCAAACGACAGTAGAGTTTATCCCCAGGTTGAGCAACAAGCCTCATTGCAAATTCCCTCTGGAACATTATGATCGCACATCGAAAAGATGGTTGATGATTTAGCAACTTGAATGTGAGAGGAGATGATATTTGATAAGGAATATTTGCCACACATATATCAAAATAAGGAAGCTCAGTCTTGAGTACATCTCCTTGAATAACCTGAGGGAATCAAGTAAAAACACCAACATAAATTCACTCCTTTACCAATTTAATCAAGCACAATCACAAATCTTCTTATACAGATAACACTCGGTTCGTTCAAACAATTGTTAGGATAATTTGATGAGAATAACCAATCAATGAACAGCTTCAGAAAGTTGATAGGTTAGGAATGGACTATTCTTTATCTGAAGTTCATAAGATAATAGGCAAGGAAAAGGGAAATGTTGTAAATGTTAGTACGATCAATTCATGCAACAGAAAGAAATCCAGTTCTAATGTTAACCAGAATAGCAATGAGCAGAAGCTTCAAGAAAAAGAAAAAAACACTCCCATGGTCAATTATCAACTAAACCAAATCATCCCGATCAATAGAAACCAGATGGAAAAAAACACAAAAAGAAGTGAGGGATTTCAATAATTAGTAAACCAATCACTAAAAAACCCTAAAGCATCGAACGAAAGGAAAACCTACCTTCAAGCGAGAAGAATAGGGAGTGTCCTGAAACCGTCTCTGCAACTCGAGAACCATACGAGGATCGAGCTCGACTGCAATAACCATCTTACCACATTCTAGAAGCTTCTTGGTGAGATTTCCAGTACCGGGACCGATTTCGAGGATCACATCGGTGCTTTTAATTCCAGATTTTTGAACAATAGAGTCGACTAGCATGGGATTCTTAAGAATATGCTGACCTTTGGATTTGTGAAACGAAATTCCTCCCTGATACGGTGCAGTCTTCGCCGACGCCTTTGGCTTCTCCCTTTTCATCTTGCCTCCCGCCATTGTTGCCGAAACTCAGAAGGAGAGAGTTTAGGTGAGATGAAATAAAAGGGCGATGGCGTGGACGATGTTCAGCTGCGGAAGATAGCGTGCGGCGGCGCGGTTGCCGTAGAGAGGGAGATAGGAAGGAGGAGGAAAAGTTAGAGGGCGGAGATGCGTGCTGATAGGGCGAAAGAGGGAGGAGAAAGAGAAGGGTGGCGGCAAGAACCAGAGGATGGATAGGGTTTTGGGGTTTATTTTTATATCAGAAAAATATTTTTAAGTGTTAGGATGATTAAATGATTTATTAGTGTTTTAGTGTTTTTTTTTTTTATAAAAATTAAAAAAGGACCAGGTGTGGCTGCTGGGATTCGAGCCCAGGTCTCCACGGCCACAACGTGGAATTCTCACCACTAAACTACAGCCACTAGATGAAACAATAGTACCAAATATATATATATATATTCTAAATTTTTAATTTCATTAAATTAATCCTTAAGCTTAGAAGTTATATATATATATTTTTTTGTTTAGTAAATTTTAATTTTAAGGTAATAAAAAACTAGTTATTGTGTTCGGTAAATCAATGTAATTTAGTTGTAATGACCAAATTTAACATATTATTTCAATTTATTTTATATCGATATTTAATTTATAAGTCATTATAAGATAATTATTTAATCATGTATATAGTTTAAATTGAATCTAATTCTATTTAATCAATCAAAATTTAGCTCTGCATCGTTTTTTTTTTTTTTTTTTTTTTTTC